AAATCGGTTGGCGACCAAATTCGTAGGGGTCAGAATGGATTAACCGTATTTACATTGAACCTTATGGGAAAATTTGATTCAGGTCGCAGAATGAATTAAGTTCGTGAACCGAGGTACTGCTGTATATTGTACATACCATATTGTACCACAGTCTTATAGTCAGTGACTATCTTTAATTAATGCTATCCACTTAATTAAGTTATTACCAGACATAGTATCAGAAACCACCTATATTCTTCATTGTTTTGGAAATAATTCAGGCTTATTGTGAAAGATTTTGCATTGATGCACATTACTTATTTGTTCTTCCTTGGTTCTTCATGCAAGTGGAAGCCTCTAAACAAACCTGGACTGCTCTATCCATTATTTATTTAGTAATACATGTATATCAGAAATGCTGCTTTGCTTTTCTAACAAACTATATAGCAAGGCAGGCAATCATTTTGCAGTCAGGAAGACAATTTCTCCTTTTTTTTTCAGTATACAAGGACTATAGTAACATAAGAATATCACTGCAGAAAGAAGTTATAGGGCTGGGGAAGGAGTTAAAAAAATGGGCTGCTGGCTGAATCTTATTGGTATGATCTCAAAAGATTCTGGGGCTACATATTGCCCATTGAAATATACAGTAATAGAACAAGCTTTTTTATATCAACTTCCTTGAAGAACTAATCATATTTTCTGGACTGCATGTCCATCAAAGAAATTGCAACAAAGCTATCTTGGTTTGTTCATATGTTTCCACTTGCAATACAATCCACTGAGCAGCATATACCAGTACACTGCTTGCTCACAATAAACCAGAATTAAATTATTTATGGTAATATGTAAACACAATCAATGAGTAAAAAATATGTGGCTTAAGTACAAATTGAAAAAGTACCAGTACACCGATATATGAAGTACAAATCCTTTGAGATGTGAATGAAGCTTACTTCTACTCTGGGTTAGTCAAGAATTTTCAAACTTTGAGACACTGTGACCCACTAAAATGATAAAATAAACTTGTGTAACTGATTCCTCCTTGAATGAAACTAATTATTTTATTTTAATAAAGCAGCTAGCTAAAGACTGGCAAGTTGCAAGTTGCTTTTGGCACTCTTTCCCAGCACATACACACTGAGATAACAATCACAGTCCATCCTCTTTTTTCAACCTGGTCTTTTTAAATCCCTCCCACCACTCTTACAACTCCCTCTTCCCTATAGCCTCACAGTCCTCCTCCCTTCCACTGTGTTGTAACTCTCTCTGGAAAGATGGGTCAGGTCAGATAGTCAGGGCTCTGCATAGAAGCTTCATACTCTTCAGATGTGATTATTCCTCCTTTGAAAGGCAAATGTGATGTTTAAACAAACAAAATAATCACCCAGGTTTCATACAGGACTCTGGAACTCCATTTCTTTGCATTCAGCATACTTTTGCATTAAATTTCTAAATTGCTCAGAAAAGAGCAGACACAGGGAAGGCATTTTCTAGCAACCAATTTCTGGATCCCACACTTTAAGAAACATTGAGATAAGGTATTGAACATAAATCTTTAAAATCAGACACATATGACTACAGAACAGGCAGTATGTCAAATTTGAAAAAGCTACCAGATGTACTTAAAACAAATTTCAGCCAAAGCCCAAAACTGGTGAAAGTAAGAGTAAAGAAGATAAGCTTCTTGAGAAAGCTTCGTTAGAACCAACATTTAAACAATAAATACTACATTTTTCATACAGATCAACTCTCTTAACATCAGTGGAATCCAAGGAGGTTGTATGACTAATCCAAACTGATCATTTATTCACCACTAAAACTGCATTTTTGGTCACTATATGGATATAGCTGTTGCTCAGTCCCAACCCCGTAACATACATAATTATAGTACACACACACGTCTGAGCTTATGTTTTGCTATATTAGGAGTTGGATTTGTTTCTTATATGCATATATGATATCTTCAAGGAATGTATTACACATAGATTTTGACAAGACCATTTGATAAAGATGAGCAAGTACTCAAAAGGATAATATACCTGGCCTAAGCATGTATAATCCTTTGACAATGTTTGCCATTGTGGAAGGGTTTATCCAAAAAGGTGTGGACTGAGCTTCTAGAAGTAAAGCTGAAATCAGAAAAGATATTCATTTGCAAATTAATTTTACTTCAAATATTGATTTATATTGCATGGATGAATACAATACATTGTTATTATAGTCTACCAAATGAATCTACAGGTGAAACTTGAAAAATTAGAATATCGTGCAAATGTTCATTTATGTCAGT